AAAAAAAAAAAAAAAAAGTTTAGTCAAAAGACAACCAATGAAGGATCTTTAGAAAGGGAAATGAGAATTCAGATAAATTAGGCCACATAGAAGTTTCTAGGAACACATGAAAAACAAGTATTTAACTTAGAAGGAAGCCTGGAGATTTTTAACTATCCCATTGTTGAATGTTTGTGTTTTTCTTTAGTTTCTCTTTTATTATTTTTAAATTTTTTATTATTTATGTGAACAGCTTGGGATGTAAAATGGTTATTTTTATTAACATGGGTAAATTGCATAGTGGTGAACACATAGTGGGTTTTAGTGTACTCATCATCCAAATAGTCTACATTGTACTCAATAGGTGGTTATTCATCTTTCCTCTTACTTTTCCCTATACAATCTCCAATGTCCATTATTTTACTCTGTATGACCATGTATATCAATAGCTTAACTCCTACTTATAAGTGAGAGCTTACTTGTTTTCCCATTCCTAAAATACTTTACATAGGATGACTTAGGCCTCTAGTTCCATTCAAGTTGCTGCTCAAGACATTGTTTCATTCTTTTTTAATGGCTGTGTGTCACTGTGCAGGGGTGCCTCTGTGTGTGTGTGCTTGCATGGGTACATGTGTGTATACCACATTTTATTTATCCACTAAACTGTTGATGGGCATATATGTTAATTCCATAACTTTGTGCTTGTTAATTATGCAGTGTAAACATTCTCTCTGTATTTTCTTAAAGTAAATATTATTTTTAAAAGCATAGCAAATGCATACCACTAGGGTATTATTAGAAGCTTAAGGATAGAGAAGAAGCTGTCTTGATCAAATTGCCCTTTATATTTCTCCCACTGCTTCTCCAAACCCTATTCAGGTATTCCAGAGACATGGAGTTAAAGAATTATAGCAGCAGCAGCACCTCCGGCTTCATCCTCTTGGGCCTCTCTTCCAGCCCTCAGCTGCAGAAACCCCTGTTTGCCATCTTCCTCATCATGTACTTAGTCACTGTGGTGGGAAATGTGCTCATCATCCTGGCCATCCACTCAGACTCCAGGCTCCACACCCCTATGTACTTCTTCCTCAGCAACTTGTCTTTCATGGATATCTGCTTCACAACAGTCATAGTGCCCAAGATGCTTGTGAATTTCCTCTCAGAGACAAAGGCTATCTCCTATGTGGGCTGCCTGGTTCAGATGTACTTCTTCATGGCATTTGGAAACACTGACAGCTAC